CTACCTCACTCTAAATGTGCTGTAAATTCTAAACTCTATGCCTGTGATTATAATTCCAACTGAAATGGGTTGTCTATGTTAATTAGGCAGGATTAGTCCATTTTGGGTATTTCTGTTGTAGAGCAATAGCTAAGTATGACAATTATACAGCAGTACAATCAAAACTTATTTCCCTGGTACACGTGCCTTGTTTCTCTGTCCCTCCTAACTTGCCTCTCAGTCATGGGAAGTTTCAAATTCTTAGGCTTCTCTTAGAGCACATTCTCCACAGGAGTCCACTTCTATGCTAAATAATTAACAAAGTGTTTTTCTAAATAAAGGCATTATCTTTCTCAGAGGACTTCTGGTTCTACTACATGTAAGTAAGCAACAGGAAGAAGCATCCTCTTTGACTGAGGATAATTATGGGAGGAGACCTCTTTGTCGAGATGAAGTCTTTCAGTGAAGTTGCAGTTGCCTCTTCACTCTGATTGATGCAGTGATTGTATCAATGGGCTCAAGCATATCAGAAATCATGAAGATGGCACAGTGTAGGGCAAGATTAATTTTTCAAAGGGTTGCTCTGAGTTGTAGTAGATAGCAACAAAAACAACAGTAGATAACAACCCAACAACTCCCCCTTGAACTCTATAGCTGAGAGTCAATTCCTTTTTCATAACTTCCGGCCTTTTATCAAGGACTGATTGTTGTTATATGCCTTGATTCAGAAGTAACTCATAGCTGACCCTTAGGTAGTTTTCAGAGGCAGTAAACATCATAGGAGGAGCTCTTCTTTGTCCCTCAAAACAACTTGTGGATTCCAACAGCACGCCTTTGGGTTGGCCACTCACCTCCTTATCACTAAATCATCAGAACTCATGTGCAGTGACTAAGAAGAAAAAAAAAATTAAGTATTTTAAACTTTACTTATTGTAGCTAATGTTAGATGAATCTTAGCTGAAAGCAGAGACTACCAGAAGAATGTCTATTTGTGTTTCATTGATTGTGCAAAGGCATTTGATTGCGTGGATCATAACAAACTGTGGCTGACTCTGAGAAGAATGGGAATCCCAGAACATTTAATTGTGCTAATGCGAAACCTATACTTGGACCAAGAGGCAGTCGTCAGAACAGAGCAGGGCAACACTGCATGGTTCAAAATTGGGAAGGGTGTACACCAGGGATGTGTCCTATCTCCATACCTTTTCAACCTGTATGCAGAGCAGATTATCCGAGAGGCTGGGCTCTATGAGGAGAAGCGTGGCATTAGGATTGGTGGACAATCTATCAACAATCTGCATTATGCAGATGACACAACCTTGCTCGCTGAAACTGAGGAGGACCTCATGCACTTATTGCAGAGGGTCAAGGACTGCAGCCTTCAATATGGACTGAGGCTCAATGTCAAGAAGACAAAAATTCTCACCACTGGACCAATCGGTAGCATCAGGATGGATGGCAAAGAGATTGAGATTGTTCACAGCTTCAGTTTGCTCGGCTCCACGGTCAACATTCTTGGCACCAGTAGCCAGGAAATCAAAACACGTATTGCGATGGGAAAGTCTGCTGTTAGGGACCTCTCCAAAATACTCAAGAGCAACAGTGTCTCTCTGGAGACTAAGGTCCGCCTGATACAGGCCATGGTTTTGCAATCACTTGTTATGCATCATAGAGTTGGACAATGACTAGGGAGGATAGAAGGAGAATTGACACCTTTGAGCTGTGGTGCTGGAGAAGAGTATTGAATGTACTGCCAAGAAAACCAACAGATTCATCCTAGAGAGGGTTAAGCCAGGCTGCTCCTTGGAGGCAAGGATTCTGGGGCTTCGTCTGACATACTTCGGACATGCTGTAAGGAGAGACAGGTCCTTGGAGAGGGACATCATGCTTGGTAGGGTGGAGGGACAACTCAGGAGGGGAAGACCCTCTATGAGGTGGATTGATTCAGCGACTGGGGTAATCGGGATGGGTGTGTCAGAGGCAATGCGATTGGCACAGGATAGAGCAGGGTTTAGGGCTGTTGTGCATAGGGTCGCTATGAGTCGCAAATGACTCAATGGCACATAACAACAACAACAACAACAACAACAACTGAATTACTGCTAAGTGTGCCATAAATCACAGACAATCCTATTTTTCTGCTTCAATTTCTTCTTAAATATTGACTTAAATCAATGTATTTTCCTCTGAGACAGTTCTGATCAAGATCTGTTTTCAGCAAACAACAGTAGCCCTAAGGTGTTCCGTCCTAATGACATTTGGCTTGTTTAAAAATTCCCGTTTTAATATATTAAGAAGAGCTTTCATGTTCTATGCATATGCAGATATTAAGAAAAGTGACCATAGCCATGAGGAGGCCACAGTGCACATTCCATGACCGATCCATGTTGAAAAAGGAAACCTGCAGTGTATGTCCTATGATGAGTAAGTAGCTAACCAGAGAGAGGCCATTTTAGAGGCCAGCTATGCGTGCCTGCTGAGTTGTATCATCTTTCCTTTTCCAAAATAACCCAACCTTTCTTTCCTAAAAGTGGTGAATAAACATGAGCATAAACATATGAGTCATCTACCAAATCAACAATATTTTAAACATTTTACACATAATAGAAATTATATAAAATAACAATAATGCTCCAGATTCATTTTAGCATTTCAACATCCAAGGTAAGAGAATTGCAGAACACAGGCATAAACATGTTTTTTAAAAAGGTTTATTTGTTACAAAATGTTAAATACTAAAGCTAAAAACGTATAAATTCAGGTCAGGCTATAATAAAATACACACATACCCTTCTTTGCAAAATTACTAAAGGTTGAATTAAACAAATGCTTTAAAATAAAACACTCTATGAAGACATTCTTATCTAGTTAACTAGGTCAGTGTAGTGTCATTTTTAACAGTGTAGTGTCATTTTTAACAGTTTAAAAGGTTAACTGTCTTGAAAATTATCCAATTCTTCATTCTTCTGCTATTATCCAACACCAAGCCACCATGCTTGCTGGGACCATGGTGAGTTTCAGGGAGTCACTGTAACCGCCCCACTATAAAGTCTCATCCCCTACGATGTGAACACAGAGCAGCCAGAAGAATACAAAGGGTTAAATGGAGTGAAAAATGGACCCAGAATGAAAAAGGCCTTATTTTCTAACATACTGTATGTCTTCTAATTAAAAGAGTTGGACATGGAAGCAGAGGCCAAGTACAAAGTAGATATCCTTCTAAAAGAATCTTTACATTTAAGAAAAGAGGAAAATAAAAAACTAACTAAAAGAGCACAGATTTCTTCAAGACGGTTTTAAGTTATCCTTTAACTTCCTTATTTTAAGTTGTATTAATCTAATTTTTAAAACTGACTAGCTCTGGACAGCTGCCATACCTGGGTGGTAAATCTCTCTCACATAAGGTGGGGAAAATTTTCATAAAAATCCATCCAACAGACTAAGAACACTATCTAACTACAAGCTCAACACTGATGGAGCACCAGCTTTCAACTCAACACCTACCTACTTGGGTCAGGCAAGCTAAAAGAACTATCTATAGTCTATTTAAACATTAAATAGTATTTTAAATATAATAGTTTAGTTCACTTTAGAACTTATATTCATTTTCTAGATTAAAACTTACTGATTTAGCATTTTAAATGACGTAATTCACATAGAGAGAAGATATGCTTATGAAGTATGAAAGGCTATCATTTGTGTTTTAAAAGTTCTTAAATGGGAACAGATTTCTACACATTTACTAGTGCATCTATTCTTTACAGTACTAATCTTGCCAAACAGAATTTGTAAATGGTTGATTAAAACAAAATTACAAACATACAACGCACATTCCATTCATCTTCTCAATACAATCCAATTAAAATCAGGTTTCCTGGAAGCTATCAGTAGAGAATTTTTACTGTTTTGCACTTCAGATGGTGATATACATACAAGAGCTAACTGTACGTAATTCTAAAACTGTATGTGAGCCTCATACTGCAGTATAAAACGAATCAAATCTTTCAAAGCCTGGAAAAAGTATGCTTACTCTAATAGCATCCTAGGATATTGAAAAAAAATTTAAAATACCAAATTACAGATAAAAATGATGCTAATAATAAGCAGTAATCTGGTTTCCCGTTTATAGAATTGCGAACATACAATAGTTTCTGTAGACACATGCTACAAGAGAAACTAAAATTCAGTTCTCTTTTCTAGTACCATTTTCTTCACAAGTACCAAATCTTTGATTTATATGTCCTTTCTTCTACTTTCCTAGGTTATCTTGAAGGACAAGATTCCTGCTACTTATTATCAGATAAGACTGGAATCCTTGGAAAGAATTAGAAAAATTCAGCCCACTCATACCTTAATCTTAGTAAACTCATTAAAACAAAGTCTTGAGTTTAAGTAGCAAATTCTTTAAAAAGCAACTTTTCTTACAATTCATGTTTTCTTTTCAATGGATATAAAAAATAAAGGCCATACTGGTTATATGCTCTTTTCAATATCCTGGTTTTACGGATTAATCCATACCCAGAAGCTATGAGTGTGAAAAAGCTAAGATGACATTGGGGCATTTCCTCCTTTTCAGGCAGGGGAGAGTGGAGGCCCTGGTGGTGCTGACTCCCCCAAAAGAAGGAATCCCGTTATGCACTCTTCCCTCCAATCGTTCCTCCTATCTTTCCCTCAATTAGCAGCACCTCTTTTCTGCTTTCAGAGAAAGTTAGGTTTGAGCACAAAAATATATTTCCTTGTAGAAAATATATGTGCTTTAGGCAGCCCACTGTAAAGTAAAAAAGACATGGTTCCTTCATAAGACATGATCATAATTTTCAACAGAGTAACAGCTGCGCATTGAACCAAGCCCCGAGTTCTTCTCAGCAGAAGGCCCTGTGTGAGTAAAGTCCACATGCACACGAAGCCAGCCAGTGCTGCTAGGGTTCCTGCCTAGCCAGAGTCCCAGTGGGGAGAAGAGGCACTCATCGGCTTGTCACAATGGAAAACAGGATTCTCACCCCTCCACCCCACCAACTCACTATGATGGTGCAAACACTGTCACTAATTTGGAAATAAGTGGCATTCTACTTTCAAAATTCTAGTCAAATTTCAATTCCTAAAAATCTCACCTTAGGCTGATCAGTGTCCCCCAGATTTCTCATTATAGAAATAAACTGGGTTTTTAAATGCCTCTTATTTTAACAGAGCAAGTGTAATAATTAAATGTCTGTGTTAACCCTATGTGGTTTAGTTATCATGAATATGATTATTTTCTTAAACTTTAACATTTCTTAATTGGGAGGGGGGGTCTTAATATCATCAAAGTAACAAGGTCTCTTAAAGGGAAAAACTAGCTTACAACAGCTTTATAACACTAGGGTAAAGCCTTAGTTCTAGCCTACAGTATATCTTATTCCCTTTTAAGACCACAATAGTTGATTCAAAGAACTAATAATCATATTAAGTTGTATGGTGTTTCCTTTTTCTCAAAACACCCATATTGTTTTCTGGCATGAGAATTTTACTGGAACCCAGTGGTATCTCATTCTTCATAATAATAATTTAAAATAAAAGTGTATGCAAATAAAAGCTTCAGGTTACATGACTAAGCAGCGACATTTCCGGGAGTGGATATACTTCCTGTATTCAGCCAGCTGTTTCAAGTACATATTCGATGGCCATCTGTGCTTTTCAACGAAACTGCGTTCTTCCACTAAAAGTTTCAGAAAACATTGTTATTTGAATATATTTTACTTTAATGATTTCATTCTATTTAAAAAACAAACAAACAAAACAGTAAAAGGCTAACACTCAAACCACAGCACCGTGCCAAACCCTCCGGAAGACCTGGTACCACTCCTTTTATGCAGACATCAAGATACTTTTTGATGGATTAAACCCTGAAATTACCTGCTGATTTCATACTTAATGGGGAGCTGTGGTGGCTAAGTGGTAAGAAATCGCACTGTCGACCCAATAGCACATTGTTTGGATCCACCAGATGCCCTGTAGGAGAAAGATAGGCAATTCCCCTCCCCTGCCATTTCCTGGCTCTGAAAACCTGCTGGGGGGTCAGCCTATGAGTTAGTTCTGCATTAACAGTATTGAACAACAAAAGGAATGTGTTGATTCTTTCCCATACCCTCAAACTTTCTAAGATCATAATGCAAACTCTGGTTAAATATATAATCTGGATTGGTTACTGAATAATAAAAATAATGATGTAATCTTTGTCTCCAGTTTGATCATGTATCATATAGCAGTTTTTTAAATAAAAATTTTGTTTTTCCTGGAGAAGATAACTGACTTATTTTTCTTGTTTTACTTTTCTCTGAAATGGATTGCCCAAGTTGTGAAAAGCCCCTCAGGTCTATTTTCTACTCAGTCTGTGTTTTATTTTATACCATCAAGTCAACTATGACTCATAGCGACACTATGAACAGATCTGAATCTTGCCCTATCCTATGCCATCTGCATGACCTCTGACATGCATGGTACCCTTGCTGCCTGGAAGAATGTGCTGTAGTGTGATTAAGAAAGTAACTGTTGAGCTCACTGAGAGAATCTTCCAAGTGTCTGTATAATTTTTCTCTCTGAGGTTAGAGGTAAAACCCCGCCTAAAACTCTGGGCTTGAATCGCATGCCCAGAGTGTGGAGATGATGTGAAACTGCAAACACGTAGCTTCCAGACTCCCAGAGGCTAGAAGCTGGAGGAAGGCTGGAGCTTCACTATACAGTGTACATTTTCACATTACCATCATGTTTCCAGGGAGCTCTGGTGGCCTACTGGGTAAGAAGCTGAGCTGCCAACCTAAAGGTCTGGATCTAATAGGTGCTCTGTGGGAGAAAGATGGGAAACCTCCTCCTGTGCAATTTACAGCCTCTGCAAATCTGCTGAAGTCAGGTAGGCATTGGTTCTAACTCAAAGACACATAACAACAACAGGGGTTGGGGGGCACAGCCCATAAGGAGTTGTAGTACCAATCCAAAAGGGGTACCTCTCTGGCAGTTTGAATTCACCAGGGACTTCACAGAAGAAAGATGGGTAATCTCTTTCCATGAGATTTACAGCCTTGGAAAACCTGCTGGAGGTCAGCTAAGAATTGGTTCTGATTTGATGGCAATGAAAGTTCTGAGCCATGTTTCTCATCTGGCTCATTACTCTTAATCTGAGCTATACCCAGGCCGGGTCCAGGGGGTCGGGTATACTGTTTTGGGGTGTGTGTGTGTGTGTGTAATTCTCCCTTAAAAATTTTAGTAAGAAAATAGCTTTTAAAAAATAAAGACTTCTACACTATCAGATTGGAGTGAAAAGGAGCAGCTGAAGTTATCACAGACCAAAAATGCTGTCAGTGCAGTGTGCAAAGGACAGAGAAACCCTTAGCTGACTGTAGTCTCTTAAAGTAGTCACTTTAAGTCAAAGCTTAGAGTGAGCTTTCTTTATGTGGTCTATACTGCCCGTGTGGTCTACCCTGCATGTGTGGTCAAGTGTTTCATGGTCCTGTATTCCTGAGCACTACACTTCCTCCACTCCACTGAAGCTGCCAGGGCCTAGGTACTCATGGGACTTGGCTGGATGAAGCTCGTAGCAATTAAGAAACCCAAAGCTGTAAATGGAAACTATATGCTATGCCAAAACCAAAGGGGGAAAAAGAATTTTGTATAATCATTTATGTCCTTGGTTCCTTGTGTTCAGAGAAATTCTTCCTCATAAGACCAAGGTTCCTTTCAACACTAAGATCCGCTATAAGTATACCTGGGCAAATGTAGTTACTAAAAGGAAGTATAAAAGTATCCATGTTTCAACAACTATTTAGTAAATGTCTGCTGTGTTCCAGGTACTGCTCAAGGCATTGTTGTTGAAGCTCTTAGGTGTCATCAAGTCCACAACTCACAGCGACCCTATGAACAACAGATGTGAACCCTATCCTATCCTGTGCCATCCTCTTCATCTCTGTGCTGCTCAAGCCCATTCTGGTAGTCACTGTATCAGTTCAGATTCTTGAGGGACTTCCTCTTTTTTTGCTGAACCCATACCTTTCCCAGCATAATGTCTCTCTCCAAGAACTGGTTCCTACTAATAATATGCCCCAAATAAGTGAGCCTAAGTTTCACCATCCTAGCCTCTAAAAAGCACTCTGGTTGCACTTCTGTCAACTTTGTTTTGGAAATAAACATGTGCAATAAATAAATCATTCTTGTAAAAAATTATATCATTTAATCTCCAGCCTCCTTTCTATCATCAAGATCACACTTTTCGAAGGGAGCTCTGTTGGCCTAATGGCAAGAAGCTACACTGCAATACCAGAGGTACACAGTTTGAATCTACCAGATGCTCTGCTGGAGAAGGAGGGGCAATCTCCTCCTGTACCAGTCAGATCCGATTTGATAGTACACACACACACACACAGACACACACACAATAATAACATTTTTTAAAAGTTTAAAAAACGTTTAAAAAAACCCCCACGTTTTCCAATTTTTGTATTCCAGTTACCAATTATTATTAATGCATCATGATTGCAGATTCGATCTATTTCAGGCAGCAAGAGTTGGAAGAAATTATCAATTTCTTCAACTTTGGCTTTCATGGTTGGTATGTATATTTGAATAATGACCAGGACTTCCTTTTATGGATAGAATCCTATAAATAAGAGTACTGTATTTCAAAAATGTCTTAAAATGCTCTTTTTCATGATGAATGCCACACTGTTACAGTTGTTATGTGTCACTGAGTCACCTGTGACTCATAGCGACCCTGTGTACAATAGCTCTGAAGCCTGCCCTACCATTAGACAGTCTCACTGACTCCCAACACTCCTATTCCCCACTGCCCCACTTACTTTATCAATGCATCTCACCCAGAGTCCCTAGTTCTCTTAAATTTGGCATTTGTGGCACAACAAATCATGTAAATTTTGCTGTCAGTTTGGTGTACGATACTGACCTGTGTGTTACTGGAAGTTATTTCACCAGTATTTTGAATACCAGCAGGGTCACCATGTTGTTGTTTTTTAAATTTTTTTTTATTTTATTATATTTGTGTACGTGTACCGTCAAATCAGATCTGACTGGTACAGGAGGAGATTGTCCCTCCTTCCCCGGCAGAGCATCTGGTGGATTCAAACCGTACGCCTCTGGGATTGTAGTTGCAGCTCCTTGCCACTAGGCCACCAGAGCTCTCCTAGGGTCACCATGTTGGACAGGCTTCAGTGAAACTACCAGATAAAGACAAACTAAGAAACAGGACTGACCCTCCATTTCTGAAATAACAGGTCAGAGAAAACTCTACTGACAACTGAAGAACACTGTTGAATATGAGCACCTCAAGTTGGAAGGCATTTAAAACACAAATGAGAAAAAGCTGCCTCCTCAAAGTAGAATCAACCATCATGACGTGGATGGAGTAAAGCTTTATCATTCATACACAGTCCGTTTCACGCATGTATACTGTATTTTAAACAATCTTTCAGCAACATACTGTATTCATGTATATAGTGTTTCCCCCCTTTACAATCATTTTACCAATAACTACACTTGTAAAATTGTGTAAGTCATATACTTCATGCCTCCTGCTTTAATATCCCCCTTTCAGATAACTAATTTCTGATTGGTCCATCTCCATCAAACTGGTACTCTGAGGGAGGAAGCATGTCCCTTTTACTGAAGAATCCTCTGTTCAACTTGGAAACTCTGAGCATTGGCATCCACAAACAAAGTCCAGTCCAGAGCAAGCCATCAGGTTACAGCAACCGACCCTAACACACAGCATGGATCATCTTCTCTATCTGGTTTGACTCTGGTCAACTCATCCTCCTAGCCATCCATGGCTAGGTCTAAATGGACATCAGCCGCAATTTCAAGAGCTCACACTTATCCCTGTGTTCCAGACCTGTGGTCTCTTCACTGAGTTCTAACCGCCCCCCAAGGGGCCAAGTCAACAAGTCAAGGGTCGTCACAGAGGTCCCTGCTCCTCAAGCTAATAACCCTTCTTTCCTCATCCATATTTGTGCATCTGAGGTGGGCAGTGATGAAGGAGTACATTTAAGCTCAGCTCGTTCCTCCATTGTTGTATTCCTCCCACTTCCATTCCTGTGGATCCAGGTATCACTACGAGTGAGCATACTCCGACCTCAAGACTTTGAAGTGGGAACCTGATGAAGGATCTTCATTTTTTTGTGTGGCAAGACTCAAAATGAGGAAAAAGAGCTGCAAACATTCAATAATAATTGGAGCATGGGAAGTATGAACCTAGGAAAATTGGACGTTATAAAAAATTAAATGGAATGCATTAAGATTACCATGAAGAAAATTGGATGGGAGTTCTGTTGGCCTAGTGGGTAAGAAACTGTGCTGCCATCCCCAAAGTATCATATGATGATCTGAATTTCATTACTGAATATCATCAGTGTTGTCCAATTCTTTATGGTACAGTGACTCTGTGTATTTCTTTCACCTTTTTTTTTCTTTTCTATTTTTCTTTCACCTGCAGGTTTCCAGAGTCAGTAAATTGCACGGGGAGAGACAGTCCATCTTTTTCCCACAGAGAGCTGGTAGATTCAAGCTGTATGCCTTTGCTTTGGCAGCACAATTCCTTACCATCAAGCCACTAAGAGCTCCCTGAAAAAGTTGGCAGAAATCCTCAATTTCCTCTTCTTTGGCTTGAGCTGTTGCTGCATATATTTGAATGAGTAACAGTCACATTAACAGGTC